AGGGAGGGAGATACAGGGGAGATACAAAGTAAATGAACTGTAATTAATAAAAATTAAAAAAAAGATTATGAAAAAAATGTTAAATATCTTTGGTATTTGACTCTTGTAAGCATTGTATAGCTAGCCATTAATAAAAACAACATGCAAATGTTGAAATTCTCCAAATTAAAACAATAATTGCAGAAAGCAAAAAAAAAGTTATATGCCCATGATAAGAATTCACAAAAAATTTATCTTTTTTATCATATTTTATAGTCACACTATCAGTTTTCTTACCATTGTACTAAACTGTACAACCACAGTTCTATAATAAGTGTAATTATTCTAGTTATTAATTTACTGATATTAATATTATTTTAATACAATATAGTTATTAAATTCAATGAGGGTAATTGTTGTATTGGCATTCATCTAACCATTTAGAGAAAATTTTCTCTGAGTTTGTATGTGAACAGCAAAGCGAAAATATAATAAATTTCAGAAAAAAAAATGAATACTGTTTAAATTGATTTTGTAATTGGTTATGAATATATATGATGTAGATTTAGAAAAATACAAAATTATATAGTTCATATTGAATACATTTACATATTGCATAATATATATTACTAAATATATTGTGAACAGAATGTTCTTTTAATATGTAAAAGTTAAAATTGTATCATTCACTTTTTCTGTCAATGGCACTTTGCTTTTTAATTTTTCATTGATATATTTAGGGTATACTATTTAGAATAAATCATAAATTTTATGTCTTTCAGAGGTCAGCCCCCATTCTAAAGAAGCTTTTGGGTTTTGTGTTTTTCTCTTTTTTAATTAAATTTTATTTTTTTATATTAGTTATGGTTTATTTACCTTTTATCCCAGCTGTAGCCCCATCACTCATTCCCTCCCAATCCCACCCTCCTTCCCTCATCTCCTCCCTGCCCCTCTCTAAGTCCATAGATAGAAGAGGGCCTCCTCCCCTTTCATCTAACCCTAGCTTATCAGGTCTCTTTAGGACTGGCTGCAGTGTCCTCATCTGTGGCCTAGCAAGGCTGCTGCTCACTCCGGGTGGGGGGTGGGAGGTGGGGTCAAAGAGCCAACTACTTAGTTCATGCCAGACATAGTCCCTGTTCCCCTTACTAGGAAAACCTCTTTGATACTGAGCTGCCATGGGCTACATCTGAGAAGGGGTTTTTCAACAACATAAAAAAAAACAGTCTAGTAAACTTAATTTTACACAACATTTTTTGACTTTGGTAAATATGCTGCATTTCATAACTGCTGATGATGTTGGTCATGAAGGTAAGGAAATTAATAAAAGTTACTTTTAGAGAAAAATCAGAAAAAAAGAGCATTTTGGTGTTCAATCACCGTATTTTACCAAAAATATTAAGAAGTAAATAAATGTAAAAATTATTCATTAATGTATTTCACATGCAAAATAAAAACAGTCTTTAGCACTTTTGTTGTTTTCTTTATGAGTAAACCAATAAATTATCATGCACAGATACAATAGGTCACTATGCCTTCGCACTTTATAAATTCATTTTTATTGTTTTATTTTATGACTAGAAAGCTCATATATACTACTAGCTTTTTCCTGTAATTTAGGCACTTTGTATCCTGTGTTTACTTTTCTTATTATTAGGATAATGATGACTTTTTTTAAATTTAAGAAATTTTCACTATCAGCTCTACAAGACCTTCTTAACAACAAAATAGTCATACAAAAGTTAACTAAGGTGTAAACATGGAAAAGGAAAAGTCTCCTTGTGATCATAAAATGATGTTATTTTCTATTCAGCATTTCATGTTACTGCTGTTCATGCCTATTAATTAAAGGAGCTGTTGCAGTAATGTGCAAACAGGGAATCTGGATAACTTAGAGGACTTTTAGGTCTCCAAGTGAAGTTAAGTCAATCTGGGCATGAGCAATCAAATATAATGAAATCACTTGTCAGTGCTAAGCTTGCAAAAAGTGGGAAGTTTGACTGGGGAGTAAAAGGATTATAATTAGATTTCCAATAGGATAATAACTAAATGGCAGAATGCAATAAAGAGAAAATATTACTTTGTTAGCTAATGGTTCTGCTGTTCAGTTTTAGTTTTTATCAGCTCACTTGTGGTTGTGCTAATTTAATTTGCTTTTATCAGCAAAAATGCACCACACAAATGCCACTTAAGAAGTAATTTGCAATAACCATTGATCTGAAGGTATACTTATTAACACCTGGTATGTTAATTTTATGTGAAGCAGAGATTGACTGATAAGATGGTTGATGTCCTATCTTGCAGGTCCCCAGCTGAGTTGGAGGAATTTGAAGTGGACCACAATGGTTCATATGTTAAGCTCTTGAGGTTGTGGACATAATCACCAGAGTGAGTACTTTATTCATTGTTGACCATCTGAAAACTGTTATATGTAGGCATAATCATAGACTGCTAAAATACAAAATTCTTTTATCAAGGTTGTCTATCTTTTTAAGGTTGTTAACTTTTTTTTTGGTCAAACAACATTCAAAGCACATTAGAAATGAAACAAACCAAATAGCCTTATGAAAGATACAATAATCCTGAGTAGTTTGTCTGTATTCAAATTTATGTGAGTATGTGATAAAACTGGTTATGATTGCTTTACTTCTAAGAGTGGCCATACAAAATTTTACCAAGTTCCCTTTATATCTTCTTTTTAATTAATTTTTATTTTTTTACATTAATTACATTTTATTCATGTTGTATCTCAGATGTACCCCCTCCCTCATTCACTCCCAATCCTACTCTCCCTCTGTCATCTCCTCCCATGCCTGTCTCTAAGTCCACTGATAGGAGAGGTCCTCCTCCCCTTCCATCTGACCCTAGCTCATCAGGTCTCATCAGGATTGGCATAATGTCCCCCTCTGTGGCCTAGCAAGGCTGTTCCCTCCTCGGGGAGGGGGGATCACAAAGCCAGCCACTGAGTTCATGTCAGAGACAGTTCCTGTTCTCCTAACTAGGGAACCTACTTGGATACTGAGTTGCCCTGCCACCAAGGTCCATTCATGGATATAACCTAAAACCCTTTATATCTTTATAAGAAGAGGTCACCCTGGAACTAAGGAAATTTCAAAGAGAGAGCACTAAGATGCTGATAGATTTCTATGCAGCAGAGCTATCAACAATAGGAAGGTAAAGGACATCAATGAAATCTCAACTGTTTACTGTGATGCAGATGAGTGTTGGCAATAGCATTGTATTGGCACTCATGAATTGATTCTCACAAATAAAGAATGTAATCTTCCAGCATACAAAATGAGCAAGGCAGGGAAGTGAAAAATATGTAAATAGTTCAAGGTAAATAAAAAAGAAACTGTAGAATATAAAACCAAAACTATTGGCAAGAATATAAAAACAATAGTTAAGCTTGCATTTTATGTTTTTCAGCCATTATAAGGTTTCTAGAGTTTAAGAATGATGATAAAATTAAATTTTCAATTAATAATATTTAAAATGATAAGCTAAATGATTAAGTGTTTTATCTAATTATCAGACTTATTTTGTCAACTATATTTAAATTAATTTTGCTCATATTTTCAGATATCTCTATTCTTCTATCAAAACAAACTATTTTTTGTTGACAAAAATCTTTTGTTTTTTTGAGCTAGGGTCCTACTATTTAGTCTTTGCTGCTCTGAAACTCAAAATGGAGAGTAGGCTGATCTGAAGTCACAGATATCCTCATGCCCTCTATCTCCTGCTTGCTACAATTAAAGGTGTATGCCACTGTACATGATCTAAAAGTTTATTTTGATGTGTGATATTACTATTATTTTAGTTTTCATGAAGTAATGATGGGAGTTTTAGTGCATATAGTGTTTAAATGTTGAACTAAGTAGAGAAGAATGTATACCTTTCAGTGCTTTCCACATTTATTATGAATGCCATTTGATGTAGTTTAAAAGTCTGTATTCAATAAGAAATTATTAAATTACTACATTTATCATATATGCACAATGTTGACTACAGATACTAAGCAAACAATTTTGTTTTTATATTGGAAACAATTTTATGCTATTAAGTTGCAGCAGAGTCAAACATTATCAGAAAGTCAATGAGATCTGATATTTCTGGAATCATAAAATAACTTTAAAAATAGAGACATGGGCTTCTAATTTTTCTTAATCTGCACAGTAACATGTTCACACTGCCTTCTGTTCCATTCACTCAGAGACAAGATATTCATGTTTTTGTATTGTAAAGTTAGGAAAATTGTCCTTTAGAGATATATTTTTTAGTATATTCAGGTTTTGTTTTATACAATAAATGTGAATATAAACATAATCTATAGATAAATAAAATAAAAACTATAATAGTATTGCATGCGAAAATTTCCACTGATTAAATGTAATTCTTTTAGGGACTTGTACAGTCTGACACAACTCTTTATTGATACCTTTCATTCATGTTGTTACTGCTGGATATTCTAAATTATTGTAGAAGATATATATATTTACAGACATCATGCAAGTTGGAAATTACAAATCATAGTCTTATTTCCATATTTAGAAGATTTCTAAAATTACTCTCAAAATTTGAAAAATAATAAAAACATCTAGAAGACCTTTGAAATGTCCATAGGTTGTGATTATTGTACTTGTGCCCTTTGCAAACACTGAAGCAATGAACTGTAAGTCATATGTACAGAATGCTTATGAAAGATTTCTTACATATTTATCATTTTTTATAATGAGAAATAGAAAAACGTAAATAAGTATTCTTTTACTAGCTAAACAGGGAAAAACCTTACATTGTATCTATGAATTACCTAAATAAATACATTAAGAGTTTTCAAAGTCATATAATAACTTATATATGTTTTTTTCCCTTAAAGATCTCTGTAGATTGCTCCTTAGGTCAGAGTATGAAAAGTTGACCTTATTTTGTGAGAATAAAATCTATTAACAAACAAGTTTTTCCTATTCTGCCTCCATGGATCACACATTAAGCACTTATAAGAAGGAGATTGCTGTTTATAGTACCTTGCATAGAAGCACTGTCATGAAGTGTCCCATTGTTTTCTATTTCAATATCTGGAAATCCAGGATCTGAAAGAAATGATATTTAATATTAAGGTCAAATTCTGTGTTTCCTAATTCCATCTCAATAACAATTGACAATATTTTGGCATTGTACATAACACAAGACTCTGGCCAGCATTTTCTTTCTAGTCTGCAAAAATCTCTGGCCCTCTACAATATTATTTGTTTTTATTTTATAATATAATTAAATCACTGATCCATTCACATTCCTTTTACCAAGTTTTCCCATATGCCTTCTTTAAATCTTTCATATTCAGTTTCTTTTTCAGTAATAGTTGTTACATTATCTGTGTGCATGTTATGTGCATATTTGTATATACATGCATATGTACATCACACACACTCTTAAACACAAATTTTTTTGTTTTGTTTAGTTTCCCTTCCATTTCCTTTCTTTTCTTTCAGCATTTTTATGTTAATGCTAGAAGGAACTTTATATTCTACAATTGAATTATACACTTAAGAATATATTTTGAGCTACATAATAAATATATTTTTCATTATTTGATAATATAAAGATGTATTCTAGGAAAATAACTGTCTATACAAAAATAGAAAAAATACTTCTAAAACTATTCAGTTAACATGTTTTGATGACAAAACAACAAAAATATGATGGATACATTTAACTAAACTGAAGTGATTTGTCATTAAAGTTTATTTTCTCCTTGTAAGATATGGGGAAGAGCCTTGAACTCATTGGCACAGGAGACAACTTCCTGAACAGAACACCAACAGCACAGTCTCTAAGATCAACAATCAATAAATGGGATCTCATGAAACTGAAAAGCTTCTGTAAAGCAAAGGACTCTGTCGTCAGAACAAAATGACTGCCTACAGATTGGGAAAGGATCTTCACCAACCCTATATCTGACAGAGAAATAATATCCAGTATATATAAAGAACTAAAGAAATTAAACAGCAACAAATCAAGTAATCCAATTTAAAAATGGAGTACAGAGCTAAACAGAGAATTCTCAATAGAGGAATATCAAATGGCAGAAAAACACTTAAAGAAATGTTCAATGTCCTTAGTGATAAGGGAAATGCAAATCAAAATGACTCTGAGATTTCACCTTAGACCCATCAGAATGGCTAAGATCAAAAACTCAAGTGACAACACATGCTGGGGAGGTTGTGGAGAAACGGGAACCCTTCTCCACTGCTGGTGGGAATGTGAACTTGTACTACCACTCTGGAAATCAATCTGGCGCTTTCTCAGACAACTAGGAATAGAACTTCCTCAAGATCCAGCTATACCACTCCTAGGCATATACCCAAAAGAGGCTCAAGTACACAATAAGGACATTCGCTCAACCATGTTTATAACAGCCTTATTTGTAATAGCCAGAATCTGGAAACAGCCCAGATTCCCCTCGGTGGAGGAATGGATACAGAAATTGTGGTACATCTACACAATGGAATATTACTCAGCAATAAAAAACAAGGAAATCATGAAATTTGCAGGTAAATAGTGGGATCTGGAAAAAATCATCTTGAGTGAGCTATCCCAGCAGCAAAAAGACACACACAGCATATATATATACTCACTCACATAGACATATAATATATTAAAATCTGTACACCTAAAGAATCTAATCAAGAGGGAGGACTCTCGCTAAAATGCTCAACTCCTATCCAGAAAGGCAAAAGAGGATGGATATCAGAAGAAGGAGAAAAGAGGGAACAAGTCAGGAGCCTGACACAGAGGACCTCTGAAAAACTCTGACCTGCAGACTGTCAAAGCAGATGCTGAGACTTATGGGCAGCCTTTGGGCAGAGTGCAGGGAATCTTAGGAAAGAAGTGGGAAACAGTAAGATCTGGAGAGGACAGGAACTCCACGAGCAGAGCAACAGAACCAAAAAAAATCTGAGCACAGGCGTCTTTCCTGAGACTGATACTTTAACCAAGGATTATGTATGGAGATAACCTAAGACCCCTGCACAGATGTAGCCCATGGCAGTTCAGTATCCAAGTGGGTTTCATTGTAATAGGAACAGGGACTGTCTCTGACAGGAACTGATTGGCCTGCTCTTTAATTACCTCCCCCTGAGGGGGAAGCTGCATTACCAGGCCACAGAAGAAGACAATGCAGCCACTCCTGATGAGACTAAGATCAGAAGGAAGGAAAAGAAGACCTCCTCTATCAGTGCACTTGGGAAGGGGCATGCATGTAGAGGGTAGAGGAAGGGAGGGAATGGGACAGGAGGAGGGAGGGAACCACAAAGGGGTGATACAAAGTGAATAAAATGTAATTAATAAAGAATTCAAAAAAAACATTTAAATGAAAACAAACAAACAAAAAGATATGATAGGAATAGTCAAGTAAAGACAATGTTCACATGTTGAATTGTAGTCTTATGTAAATGGAAGCACAAATATGTTTTGATTGTGATCAGATAATTCACACAAGCTAATTATGTTGCAAAAACGCTGTGAATTCACTTTACATTGTGTTTGAATCAATTGAATCAATCATAGGTGATCATGAGCTTAAAATAAAATTAGAAAACTTTTGCATTACAACCCTTTGATTCATGCACCCCTTAACATAAAATCAAGGATTTATTTAGTATATCTTTTCTCCCTGAGGACCTCAACTTTGATGCATTCTGCATTAAATAATCCACCTAAAATTATTTTTTTCTGTCTTCTCGCTCGAGAAAGGGTTATTTTGGTTTGATTCATGACTTAAAACGCTTGCCTTAAAATTATATTCCTTGACAAAGCCTTTCTGTTTCTCTTTCTCTCTCTCTGTCTCTCTTTCTTAGTTCAGGTTTTTATTTTTTACCTTATAAGTGAAAGTCCTAATTAGAAGTTACCTTTCAACAACCTCAAACCACTGTCACTAGCTGTGGCTTGTTTAAGTGCCTGCTCCACTTGTTCTCGGCGCTTTGATTCAAATTCCAAGGCTTCCTGAAGTTTCCTCTTAGCTTTTTTCTCCTTTTTCAGACGCTTTTGCATTGTACCTAAAAGATGGAGAAGTACTTTGCAAATGTACGGTTAACACATTATTATTGCTTAGTTTATTACTATTGCTGAGTTTAATGACTTATATCAGAGATACAAGTATAAAATCAGAAAGCCAAAATGTATCAGACAGCATATGATTAAATTCTTTTGGTCCCAGTTTTCACCCATTTGGTGTTTTTTTGACTGTGGTTGAATAACACCATCAACTTTTTTTAAATTCATATTTCTAAATTTTATGCTCTTTAATACACATGCATTCATACAGTGATGGCAGTTTGCTGGGAGACTTACTGTCTACATGTCATATCACATACATTTAATGACTTTAATATTTTATTATTTTCCTAAGAAATAATACTATTTGTAAGTTATTTCCAGTCATATTTCAAAATTTAAAAATAAAACATGTAACTCTGTGTGAGGCATTATTTTATTCTTTAAAACAGAAAGCATATCCCTTATCAGTGGACTGGGAAAGGGACATGGGTAGGGAAGAAGAGGGTGGGACTAGGAGGGGAGGAGGGAGGGTGGTACAGTGGGGATACAAAGTGAATAAACTGTAATTAATAAAAATAAAAATAATTTAAAAAACTGAAAGTGCAAGTGTCTATTTCTGTGAAATGTTATCCATTGAAGAGAAAAACAATTATTCCTTTAAATAATTGTGTTTCTCTCCCTCTTTCCCTCCTTCTTTAAACACACACAAACACACACATTACTGAGAATAACTTTCAGCAATTATATAATCAATCTATAAAACTACAATCACATCAAGGAGTGTCTGGTAGATGAAAAGGCCAAAGAAGTGCTAAATAACAATTCCAGCTCAGTTCTCAGGGCTTCTGTCCCAAAGAGAAACTATAATTGCCACAATTTAAAAATCATTTCAAAACTCTAAAAGTTTATTATGATAGAGTCTCAAACAGGATCAATTTGGTTTCCAAGAGGTTCATAACGAGATTCTAAGCAAAGCTACCATCTTCCTATTTTGTTTTTAAAGTTTATTATTATGGTATATTTTAAAATACAAAAACTTGAGTATTGTATGCACAGGTTAATGATCCCTTATACACAAGAGGAGCAAGAGGAATTACAAATTCAATTCTTTCCTGCATTTCAGAATGAGTTCAAGCCAGCTTGGGATCCTGAGAACATATACATACATACATACATACATACATACATACATACATATATATATACATATATATATATATATATATATATATATACACTCACACACACACAGCTAGATGTTTGATGTGCAACAATTATTAAGATTTATTTTTCCATGCATAGTCCTTGGTTGGAGTATCAGTCTCAGGAAAGACCCCTGCACAGATATAGCCCATGGCAGTTCAGGAACCAAGTGGGTTCCATTGTAATAGGAACAGGGACTGTCTCTGACATGAACTGATTGACCTGCTCTTTAATTACCTCCCCCTGAGGGGGAAGCAGCATTACCAGGCCACAGAAGAAGACAATACAGCCACTCCTGATGAGACCTAATTGACTAGGAACAGAAGGAAGGAAAAGAAGACATCCCCTATCAGTGGGCTTGGGGAGGGGCATGCATGCAGAGGGTGTAGGAAGGGAAGGATTGGGATAGGAGGAGGGAGGGAACCACAGGGGGTATACAAAAGGAATGAAGTGTAATTAATAAAGAAAAAAAATGTAAAAATAAAATAAATAAATAAATAAATAAATAAATAAAAGAAATAATGCCCAAAATTATCAAATGGGATTAAATGAAATTTAAAAGTTTCTCTAAAAAAAAAAAAAGATTTGTTTTTCTGCTTTCTTTATATGGATGTTCTGTCTTTCCTGAGACTGACATCCAACCAAGGACTATTCATGAAGAAAACCTAGAACCCTTTCACAGAGGGAGCCATAGGCAGCTCAGTCTCCAAATGGGCTTCCTAGTGAGGGAAACAGGGGCTGTCTTAGACATGAACTCTGTGGCTGGCCCTTTGATCACCTCCCCCTGAGGAGGGAGCAGCCTTACCAGGCCACAGAAGAAGACAATGCAGCCAGTCCTGATGAGACCTGATAGACTAGTGTCAGATGTATGGGGAGGAGGTACTCCCCTATCAGTGGACTGGGGAAGGAGCATGGGAGGAGATGAGGGAGGGAGAGAGGGAGGGTGGTATTGGGAGTGGATGAAGGTGGGGCTACAATTGGGATACAAAATGAATAAATTATAATAAATAAAAAAATTATACTAAAAATAATAAAATAAAATTCAAAAAATACTAAAAATTTTATGTATAAAAAATTTTCAACTGAACTAAATATTGTAATAATCTGGGTTTTAATGTTACTCATTTTTCACATTAATATGTTCTCAATAACTTCAAAAGAGACATTTGCCCAAATAAATTGTTGTTTACCTATAGAGAAAATTCAGCAGTCTAACATAAAACATAGAATTGTTGAGACTAAGTCAGAAAATTAATGTCTTTTGTTTATTTATTAAAAATGGTTAAGTATATTTGTACATGAAATTTTTTTACTACTGTAATTGTATTCACATCATTATTAAAATACAGAATTAACAAATTACTTCAAGCAGAAAAGACAGTCTATTGAAACAGTTCTGAACTTAACATATTGCAGAGTAAAAATGCAGCTTTGAGTAAAAATCATTATTAAAAATATCCTAAGATTTTCTCTAAAATTTTAAACAAAATGTAAAAGTATAACTTACTATATAGTCAATATTACGTAGTTTCTGGAGTTTTCAAGAGGCCACATTTAAAATTATTTAAACAAAAATGAATTATTTAAACCTACTTTGTTAGCAATATTTTGTTGGTAATAATCGTCTATCAAAATGTTTGCAACGATGACATCTCTGCTAGGAAAATACTATGCCCACTTCACAGAAAGAAACTGCTTTTGAGACATGAAAACAATTGTACTAGAACTAAAACCCAGTAGCCTTTAAAAAATATAGGGACACCAGTCCAAAAGAGGGCTCCACTTGGCTGGTATTGGGTTTTTTGTTAAATAGTTTCTGGCTTTTGGAGATGGCACTATCAACCCACATGAGAAAAAGTTAATTAAAAGTCTATTGTTTGTATTCATGCATACAAAACACACATAAATTTTTAAAAAATGAAAAAAATTTTAAAAAATGAAATAAACCTTAAAAAAGAAAAAACAGAAAGTCACATGTATATATTTTAAGGAATCATTTACAATGACAATATTAACATTTTAAGATAAGATGCCTCTTTTTACTGCTATCAAAGAAAACATCTTTAATAAAACATTAAAAGGCTGGCATGCTTCAAAATCCCATTTGAATGTTAAACCTTTTATAGATCAGATATTGAGCTGAAATTATTTTAAAGTATTTTGAAATTTAATTATAACTCATTCTAGCTCTAAAGATTAACTATAACGAATGAGTGTATAAATTTAAAAACTATTTAATGAGTGCTAATAATGATGTATCCAATAGCTTTTTCTGCTATTTTACCTAAACTAATCTTAAATGAACCAAAGTAAGCCTGCAGTGGTTTGTTTTAGTTTATTTCACTTTTTCAGATTTTAAGCACTAATTATTTTTAATCTTAGTCAATAAAAATTGAAAGTAAGATCATAATATAACTTAGAATATTTTTGTTATTTTACTTTCAAATTATTATTGAGCTTGAATTTACACGTGCTTTTGAGGTACCTGACATGGGAATCGGTCTCAAGTCTTATGGAAGAACTGTTATTTATGCTTATCCACTAAGGTCTCTCTCTCTCTTTAGCTCCACTTTTTTTTAAACATTTGTTTTTAAATTTAATGATCTTGTAATGTTCAAAACTACTATTGTTTGAAATAATGTATAATTTCAAATAATTTCTATGTCTAAATCTAATTTTGAACTGAATAAAATATGTGAACATGGATGCAAAAAAAGGAAGAAAGAAAAACCTCTATTGTTATACATAGAGTTATGTACATTATATCCATGATACGCCTCAAGATGAGGCAGTGATGTATTAGACTGTGCACAGCAGGTATTTAACTACATAATTATATCTATTCTTCTCTCCAATAATCCAGTATGTTTTTCCTATAGTAGGGTTCAATAAGTATCTGTTGAACATACTGTTTAAGCAAGAAGTGAGAAAAGATGCGCCCTCATGTGGATGTCAAGTATAAGTGGAATTAGCTTAGGAACGAGTGGTTAGATGTAAACTGCATATGGTATACATGTAAATAAACTAATATTAACAAAAAACAAGTAAGCAGAAAATACTGGCACTGGAATAAAAACAAAGGCAAGACCTGCCAACATATGAAGATAAACATTAAATTATAATACATAAGTCAATATTTATAATAGTATGTGTTAAACAATTTCAAATTATATCTTTATATTGATATTATGTCAAATATGTTTGAATAAACTTATTATTCCTCACTTTCCATCATATTAACGTAATATACACTTAAAAGTTGAGCAGCCAGGCACAGTAGGGCACACCTGTAATGCCAGCACTCAGGGAGGCAGAGGCATATGCATCTCTCTGAGTGTGAGGGTAGCCTGATCTACAAAACAATTCCAGGACAGCCAAGGCTACACAGAGAAACCTTGTTTTAAAACAAACAAACAAACAAACAAAACAGAATACCAACAACACAGGCTCTAAGATCAACAATCAATAAATGGGACCTCATGAAACTAAAAAGCCCCTGTAAAGCAAAAGAACATGGTCACACGGTCAACAGAACAAAACAACAGACTACAGACTGGGATAAAACTTCACCAACCCTATATCTGACATGGGATTAATGCCCAGAATATATAAAGAACCCAAGAAGATAAACACCTAGACACCAAGTAACCTAATTAAAAAATGGAGTGCAGAGCTAAACAGAGAATCCTCAATAGAGGAATATCAAATGGCAGAGAAATATTTAAAGAAATTCTCAACATCATTAGTCATCAGGAAAATGCAAATCAAAATGACTGAGATTTCACCTTTAACTGTCATAATGGCTAAGATCAAAAACTCAAGTGACAAAACATGCTCAAGAGGATGTGGAGAAAGGGAACCCTCCTCCACTGCTGGTGGGAATATAAACTTGTACAACCACTTTGAAAATCAATCTGGCACTTTCTGAGACAATTAGAAATAGTGCTTCCTCAAGACCCAGCTATACCATTACTGGACATAAATCCAAAATATGCTCAACCATAAAACAAGGACATTTGCACAACTATGTTCATAGCAGCTTTATTCATAAGAGCCAGAATCTGGAAACAACCTAGATGTTCCTTAACTGAAGAATGGATACAGAAATTGTGGTACATTTACACAACTGAATACTACTCAGCAATTAAAAACAAGGAAATCATGAAATTTGCAGGGAAATAGAGTGAGGTAACTCAGAAAAAGAAAAATTAAATTCTTACAAATGCAGTGATTAAAATTGCATTTTACTCTCAACAAATGATTCCTAAAACTATAGAAAAATATTCCAAGACAAATTTTATGTTACTGTTTAATACTTAGCATTAGGTAAGTATAAAATTCACTATAAGTTAGTGAATTTTACTGAACTGGAAGCATCATCAGTTTTTGGTGAAGTGTCCAGATTGTGAATTTTCTCTGTTCCATTTGTACCACTGCTTTCCCCCTTTAACTAGGTTACTTTAGGTTTTATGATCTTTCCATAAGAAGGGAAATGAGGGATTAGAAGAAAACTGAAATTAGTATTACATATTTTGCTGCTCTGTAGTGTTTTATGTTAAATGTGAACATGTAAAAATTATTTATAAAACTGAACGCGAAAACTTTGTGTTGTGTTCAAGAGAACTTGTCCAATTTATATACTATACTATGCACAACTGATTTTACTCTTTTAAAAAATTCTATTTTGAATAATTCAGTATTTCTCTAAATTCTCTTCTTTGTGTCCATATATCTCTCTTATGATAATTTAATTGTTTTTAATCCCGTTTCCATGAGAACAAGCAATCCATTTGGAATCCTTTCCTTGCTCCCAGGCTCACAGCTATCCCAATCAGAGAATCAGGGATTTCTGTGAGACAGTGATGCCTAGTAATATCAGAAGATACTCTGTTAAAGTCTCAGCAATGTGACTGCTTAAACATGAACTGAACGAAGACAGTATCAGTGGCTATATCAAAGTGGATGGGGAAAAGCTCACAATAATTCAATTACGTATGGAACTAAGGAAAGCTGGAAGTGTGAAAGATAGTCTTTCCCTTTGAAGAGCTCACAAATTTGTAGTTTAGTGTCGAAAAACTTAACAAGTAACATTATATGGGCTGGACATACTATATTTAGAAATATATATGCACAAGATAACAATTAGGAAATAAAAGAGTATGGATTAGAAGGTAAGTCAGGAAGGTTACATAGGAGGGTTTAGGGAAATGTAATTATAGTCTCAAAAAAGTAAAAAAAAAAACAACACATCATTAGAGTGAACTATGTAATTAAAATGAAACCAGATTTTCCCCTTGTTAACCTTTCAATACTCTGCATTGTTTGCAAGGTAAAATCCAATCTCAGTTATACACCATTGAAAATTTTCTTCACAATTTCACTTCTACATCCATTTTTGGCATGATCTTTCACTATGTAATTAGTTAAACTCAAAGCCACTCAAAAATCAAATCACATACACTCACCTTTGTATGAAGTTGTTTCTTTCTTGTTGTTTTGTTTTTATGCCTTCCCTAATACACTATGTTTAAGCTGAATGTTTGCATGCTCTTTTTATTTTTGACTACTGATTCTATAATGTTCAGATCCAGGCATCAACTTCAGAAGATAGTCTTTTAACATCATACCACTTCCATAAGCTAAAGGAACTAATCTCTTTCAAACCGTGCAGATTATTCATGATCACTCTTGCCATTATGTCTTGGGAAAATTTTGGTTGTGCTAACCTTAGACAGTGTAAATCCCTCAAGAAAAGAGACCGAGTTCCATTTACTTTATAATTCCAGAATATAGTTCCCTGACTTGGAAAAAGTAAATGTTTTATATGTAAGAGGAGGTGACAATATCTGTACCCAGATACATTTTATTGGCTTATGTTTATTTTCAATCTTTAACTGGCCCCAAACAAAAATTTTGTTCATTATCTCTTAGTGAAAAACTTTCTGACCATTATGTGACTAAGCAATTACTATTTGTTTTTAGCTTATTAATTTTTAGCAGTTATAAGCCGTCTTTGAAAGTGTTTCTGTTAGCAAGAAAATAGTGTGCAACATAATATTCACCATTTAGTTGAACTTGTTCAACTTACTTCTGCTTTGAAGCTCAACTGCAAGTTGTCTTTCCAGGTTTTCTCTAATTTCTCTTTCTCTGTACACCTCTATTCTCAGTTCCTTCTTTTCTTGCTGAATCTGCTTCTCCTGGATACGAGCATTATCCAAAGCCACTTTCAGTAGACCCTGTCAAAGTACAACAAATGGCACGCAGTTCATCTAATCTGTTTTAAATTTTCAATTAGAAAATAATTTAGGTAGGTGTTAATGTCTTGTATTACATTTATTTTTTATAGAAATATTGTTGACCTGAATATTGGTCAACAGAGTCTCCACAGAGGACAGACTATCAGCAAAAATTAATGGTCCAGGGAATCCAGGGGGCAATGCCTGTCCAGGAGCCAACTCGATCTTTTCCAAGGGTGACTTCATCATTGGAATTTCAGCTGGTACTTCTGTAAAGATAAAGTTAATGTCAGAAGGTTCACAAATTAACAACTAAAATGTTTCACCAAGTCATTTCTAGTAGCCATATATAACAATTTTCTTAAAATTAAATCACAGGTACTCAAATTATGTCATATTCCTAAACTAGAGAATCATATTGCTAACAACAGATGTATAAGTTGGCATCTGTTCTTCCAGATATGTCTGTCTATGAATTTACCTATATACTCATTATCACTATTTCTAATGATTTAATTTATGACTAAATTAATACATAACATAAATTAAAAATAGATAAAATTAATGTATCTATCTATCTATTTATTTATTTATTTATTATTTATTAATTTATTTATTTTAGTTAACCTAGAACACAATGCTGGGCAATATTTACTCCCTCCTAAATTTACTCCAAGCCCTCAGTTTCCTAACATTTAGATTTCCCACATTATACTTGCTTTTTGTGAAATCTTAGGTCTGGTTCATGCTCCATGTCCTCCAAGCTCTCCCCTCCAACTCTGCTCTCCTCCTGCTCTGCTCTCCTCGAGCTCCTCCTCCTTCTCCTCCCACCCTTTCCTGTTCTCTAGCTCCTCCCCTTTTTCCTGTCCTCTGGCTCCTTCCATTGCACAACATTGTATCTAGTTGGTTTATTTGTGTCCTGTTTACACAAGTGTTGAGACAGGATGCTTATAGTGAGTATCACAATGCAATATCCAGATTGAAACCAGAGCGTTGGGGGTGGAGAAATCAGCATTTGAATTAACAAGGGTAGGCATATACATTTTAAAAGAACATTATACCAACATTTCCTCCTTTAAGTCCAATAAAAGGCTCCTTTTCTTTCAATACAATAATAATTATGAAATTATGAAAACTGTTAGGTAAGATCTACACGTGCAATGTCTAGTCCATGTTTATTTAGCACATGGAGAGGATTCAGTATCACATATAAGACTAAGTTGTTTAGAAATTAAGAAATCTTTTTATATAGGTAATACCAATAAGGAGAAAAGTTAATTTAGGTATAGAACTTTAAACTTATCAAGATAGATAGGATAATCAGACACTTTCTCCTAAGATATCCTTTCCATATGCTAAAATTAATGTATTTAAAACAAATTTACACAATGTTTTAAACATGAAAACAAATGGATTTTAGAACATACAAATGTCTTCACTTATTCTTCATAACTATTTGCAGATAATCACAACTATCTAATCTCAAAATACATGTATGATCATTTATTTAATTTTCATTACTGGGTAAGATTTCTTTGAGTGAATATACAAATTTTATTTAAATATTATCTGCTTCTCTGGAATTTTAGGATTTTCAGATTTGAAAATTATTTAATAAGAGAAAAATGCAAGTACTATCTATTCTCACCTTTTACTTTTAAATTATTTTCTCCCCCGTATTTAGTATTTAGTACCTCTTAGTTTCAGATACTGAGACATCAACAAAAATTTTTATTAAGGAATTTCAGAATTATTTGCAACAGAGATATCTAGCAACAGTGGGAATTTCCTTTTTCATGGGAGCCTAACAATTTGGCTATATATATAAAAATTATGAACAACAATCCCTTATGTGACTAGTGGGAGCTATGTAGTAGTTTCCTCTATATATGGGAATAGGAATATTTTATATGACTTGAAGTAAAATATTCTGGGGAGGTAATCTTGGGATGCAAACAAATTCAGTTTCTAAGATTTCCCTGTTCATGCAGAGATGAAACATAACAGTTCAGTTAAACTATGCATTATAGTTTCTGAATTTCAGTAATGACATAATGAAACTCTAAAGACTATGTTTCTCTTGGATTGTAAAAAATTGTCTGCTAGTCACAATATTTGAAATAGATTCACTAAAATGTAAATCAAACTAGGTTTGAATTGAATTTATACCTAACTAGTTTCATATGGTTTAGTAATAACTGCATTACAAAAAGCAGTCTAATGCATGGAGATAACCTAAGACCCCTGCACAGATGTAGCCCATGGCAGTTCAGTATCCAAGTGGGTTCCATTGTAATAGGAACAGGGACTGTCTCTGACATGAACTGATTGGCCTGCTCTTTAATTACCTCCCCCTGAGGGGGAAGCAGCATTACCAGGCCACAGAAGAAGACAATGCAGCCACTCCTGATGAGACCTAATTGACTAGGAACAGAAGGAAGGAAAAGAAGTACTCCCCTATCAGTGGACTTTGGGAGGGGCATGCATGCAGAGGGTGGAGAAAGGGAGGGATTGGGATGGGAGGAGGGAGAGAATCACAGGAGGGATACAAAGTGAATTAAGTGTAATTAATAAAGAAAAAAAAACAGTCTAATGCTTTTTGGCATCTAAGGAGATGATCATGTGTTTTATTTTGTATCAGTTTGTTTATATGGTGAATTACATTGATGGATTTCCATATATAGAATGACACTTCCAAGCCTGGGATGAAACCTACTTAGTCATGGTGGATGATATCTTTAATGTGTTCTTGGACTTAGCTTGCAAGTATTTATTGAATATTTGTTGTGTCAATGTTCATAAGAAAAATAGGTCTGAAATTCTCTTTCCTTGTTGGGTCTTTGTGTGGTTAAGGTATCAAAGTGATTGTGACCTCATATAATGAGTTTGGTAATGTTCCTTCTCTTTCTATTTGAGGAATAGTTTGAAGAGTGTTGGAATTAGCTCTTCTTTGAAAGTGTGATAGAATTCTGTCCTGAAAATATCAGGCCCTGGCATTTTTTGGTTGGGAGATTTTGATGAGTGCTTCTTTTTCTTTAGGGGATATAGGACTTTTTAATTTATTTTCCTGATCTTGATTCAGCTTTGGTAAGTGAAATCTATCCCATCACTTTTGTCAGTCCTTCCCTAGAAGTAATCACAGAGCTGAAACTGCAGCCAACAGCTGGCCCTGAAGCTCTCAAGGGGCTCAATATTCATTCTGCTATTCACATTGGTCTACTCTACAAATCTTTGGGAAACATTTAAAAAAAAAACAAAAGAAATTTAAAATACAGTATTTTTGCAAATATTTACCATCTTATATTTTAATAAAATAGTTTTTTTTAAATGTCAAAATAAGAAAATTGTCTTATCAGATCCTAAGACCCTAATCATCTTGTGAGATGGCTTTAGTTTCTGTAACTCTTTCTCCCACCTTGTCCTTAAGTCTATCTTATTCCTTTACTCCTCAAATACTGATGTCCTTGCTAAACTTTGTTATTTCTTTCAGCTTTTTTCTTTGTAAATTTTTTATTTTTATTAATTACAGTTTATTCACTTTGTATTCCCCCTGTAGCTCCTTCTCTCTTCCCCTCCCAATCCCACCTTCCCTCCCTCTTCCCCACCAGTGCCCCTCCCCCAGTCCACTGATAAGGGAGGTCTTCCAGTGGTTAATAAAAGAGGTAATAAATTTTCAAGTGAGTTAAAAATGCTAGTAGATGCGAGACGGAATAAAGTGACAGATGAGAGGTTACTTCCTTGATGAAATGGGTTATCAGTTAACCCTTGAACTCAAGATAAGAATCACCTAGCAACAGAGAGAAAGAGGGAAACACTTATATACTTGTTAATAACTTGTCTTTTTCTTACATGTGGACCAATATAATAATATGATATAAAAATTATAGTAATGGGGCCAGGAAGATGGCTCAGAGTGCAAAGGCTCTTACTGTGAAAGCCTGAATTTGATTCCCAGAACCAACATACATATGGAAGGAGAGAGCTAGAAACACAATGTTGTCTTCTGACCTTCACACACACACAGCACACACCAACACACATAATACACACCAACAAACACACTATAAACCAAAACATGTAGCATATGCTCCTCCTACATAGCGCAAACACATACAACACACAGATCAACACACACATACCAAGCACATAGTAACACACACAGTACACACATACTTATATTTCTTTTTTTAATTTAATTTAATTTTATTAATTACACTTTATTCACTTTGTATCCCCCCATAAGCCCCTCCCTCCTCCCCTCCTGGTCCCACCCTCCCTCCCCTTTCTTCACGCATGCCCCTCCCCAAGTCCACTGATAAGGGAGATCATCCTCTCCTTCCTTCTGATCTTAGTCTATCAGATCACATCTGGAGTGGCTGCATTGTCATCTTCTGTGGCCGGGGCAAGGCTGCTCCTCCCTTAGGGGGAGGTGATCAAAGATCATGCCAATCAGATTATGTCAGAGGCAGTCCCTCTTCCCATTACTATGGAACCCACTTGGACACTAAACTGCCGTGGACTACATCTGTGCAGGGGTTCTAGGTTATCTCCATGCCTGGTACTTGGTTGGAGTATGAGTCTCTGGGAAGACCCCTGTGTTCAAATTTTCTGGTTCTGTTGCTCTCCTTGTGGTGTTCCTGTCCTCTCCAGATCTTACTATTTCCCACTTCTTACATGAGATTCCATGCACTCTTAATTTAAAAAATTCCAGCTCAGATGTAGCCCAAGTGGGTTCCTAGTAAGAGAGCAGGAGCTTTCTCTGGCATGAACCCAGTGGCAGGCTCTTTGATCAACTCCCCCTGGGGAAGCCACAGAGGAAGACAATGCAACTAGTCCTGATGAGACCTGATAAGCTAGGGTCATATGGAAGTGGAGGAGGTCATCCCCTATGAATGGACTAGGAAAGGGGCATAGGGGAAGAAGTGGGAGGAAGGGAGGAGGGAGTTATTGGTAAGAGATGAGGGAGGGGGCTACAGCCTGGGTACAAATTGAATAAATTGAAATAAATAATAAGAACTAAAAACTAAAAAAAATAAATAAAAATTCTGGGAAAATAATTTGTTAATTTTAGATATTTTCAAGTGTTTACTTTATGGAAACTCTCCAAGAAATGTCATGATACTTGTGTATTTTAAAGTGTAATGAGTAATTTTACTTTTCTAATCCAAGTAAGTTTCACAAAAAAAAAAGTAAGTAAAAAGAAAATTGTCCAGTACATTTAGCTTATTTAGCTTTTCAAATTCTGTAGATAATAGGCTTTTGAAAT